CAAACTCCTGGGCTCAAGCGATCCTCCTGCCTCAGCCTCCCGAGTAGCTAGGACTACAGGCATGCGCCACTATGCCCGGCTAATTTTTTCTATGTTTGGTAGAGATGGGGTCTTGCTCTTGCTCAGACTGGTCTCGAATTCCTGAGTTCAAGTGATTTGTCCACCTCTGCCTCCCGGAGTGCTAGGATTACAGGTGTGAGCCACCATGCCCGGCCCATTATTAGTGTTTTTATTGTTAGATAATATTACCTCATTTGTTTTATTTCTAAGTGTTGGGATGAGGAGGGCCTCTTCCCTAAGTACCTTGTCAGAACCTCTCTAGGTACTAAACAATGCTAAGATTGAGGGCTTTTTGCTTTTTAAATAGCAGATGCAAATGTAATTTATGAAGAAAATGTCCTATAAATTAAGAAATTTCATGTTAAAGTTCAGATGCAAAGGAAAATCTAGTCTTTATCGCATTAATGACCATCTTTTCAATGAAGTAATTACAGATGCTCCTTGACTTGATACCAGATTTTGGCTTACTTTCCATTTTTCTTACACTGGTTTGCCTTATATGTTTTAACAGAATGTGGTGCTCTTTCTTAGAACTTTCCTAAAGGCTGTTTTAGATTTGTGGCAGTAGGAATGGGAGCTGACAGTGGATAATGTCAACTGTGGTATGTGCAGGTAAAGAGAGAGATTTTGATGACAGTTGCTATGCACCTTGCTTATGACCCACAGCTCTGTTTTGCTTCTTGTAGATTTTCAGCACTGAAATGGCAAAGAAATCCAAGATGCTGGGAATCAACAATTATAGTGGTGAGTAAGAAATTCATAGGTCTACAAGTAGCATCTCCTACCATTGGCTCATTCTATTTTTGATTATCTGAACTAATAGAGGGGAGAAGAAGAAGGAATAAGCCAAATATATTTCATTGTGCTCCTCTTGGATACGAACCTAATCTATACCTTGACCATGACTCTGCTTTTTTTCAGTCCAGTTTCATGATATGTCCACACAGAGGCTGAGTCATAGTAGATAATCCACAGTCTAGATAGTTCATTCATAAATATATGCCTGTAATTTTTTCTAAGAAAAAATTATGTCCTCGAGAAACTGGCTAAGCCAGTCACTCTTTCTGCTCTGAACATCCAAATAGGGTTACTTACCACTCATTACAGAAAACACATCTCAGTAATACCAGATAAATGGGTTAATTCTATGTTACTCAAACCTGAGTAATCACTGGGATCACAATGGAAACTTTAAAAACCAACCAGACAAACAAAAATAGGTATACCTGTAGGCCGCAACTCTGTAGATTCTAATTCTGGAAGGCTGGGTCTGGGCCAAGGGTATATATTTTGAAGGCTCCCTAGTCAATTCTGCTGAGCCAGGGTTGGGATCACTGGACTAAACCAATCCTAATTGTTGGGGGCTGAGGAAGAATTAGCTTTGTCTCATAACTCCATTCTTTTAGTGGAGTTGGGTGGACTGAGATGGAATGTTCAGTGGCCTGACAGTGCTGGAAGTAAAGAAGGGGAACTTTAATAGTTCTAGTCTGGGACTGTGCTTTTTATGAGCCTGTTTAATTATCTGTACAGTGATGATAATGAAAGACTGTTGTGAGGATAATTGGAGATTATGTAAAAGTGTCTACAAATTGCAAAACATTAAATAAATGCCAAGGGATAAATAATTCATGAGAAAATGGACAAACTCCCCAGGTGGCTCAGGGAGGGAGAGATTCCTTCGGTCTGGAAGGTATCAAGAATGGATTCATGGATGAGATGGTTCTAAGCTGGCATTTGAGGCTGGCAAGATTTTCAGTGTCCAGAGATGGTGGGGTGGGGCACCCAAGGTGAAGAACACCCACAGGAGCAAATAAATCCAGTGCATGTTTGGGGAACCACAAGGAATCCCAGGTAGCTAGATAAGAGGAGGAGTTTTAGATGAGGATAACATAGAAAAGGAACATATAAAGGTCTATATGTCATTAATATGAATAATGGGATGTGTAAAGTCAGATGTGTTGCAGGGTTAGAAATCCTTGGACAAGGCTTTTGAATTAAATGTAAAAAAGAAGTGTAACAATCAGTAGCAAGTGATACCATTTAATTCAGCAATTCTTGAGGATATCTGTAAAGGAATTGTATAGCATAAGATAATAATTGACATTAATAATGATTAATGATCTCAGATTATCAAGGAAAGGTTAAACTGTTTAGGAAGGCAGAAAGGTATGTTTCTGTTAGAAATATTTAATTCACAAATAGTTAAAATTAAATGTGTTTTGGTGCTAGAACAGTTATTCTTTCGTGATTTGAACAATTTAGTTATCTAGAGGAATAGTGCTTGCTTTGGCAGCACATATACTAAAATTAAAATAATTGCATATATATTTATATATTTACATATATATATGAAAAAATGAGGAGTGACTCCCAACTCCACTCTTTAAACAGCAAAAGGTCCATAGTGTCCTGTCATACACAGATAAGATATAATAAGGACTCCTGGGTAGTGGAATTATATATAGGTATTTTTTCCTTTCATTATAGTTTGATAATTTTCTGATTTTTCAATAATAAACATGTTATTTTTATAACCAGGGATTTATGTTTAAACTTTTTTTTAAAAAATAATTTTCAATTTTTAAGCTCTATGGCTTTCAGAGATACTTGATTTTAAACTTGGTAATAGCAGGAAGTTAAGAGAATTCCATTTAGCAGGAAGTGATAGTTAATATCCAGGGTGAGATCACGAGGCGAACTCATCTGTGAACTGACAAATGCAACACAGCAGAGGCAAGATATGGTAAAGCCAGCCCGTTACAAGATAAAGTCTGTGTTCCCAAGGAGGCTTACATTTTGGTGTAAAAATGTGTTTACACTACATATGTAGATTTCCTTTATACTCAGCTCAGCTTTCAGGGATAGGTACTTAATTGGAGCTGCTACTTCTGACAATGGTGACAATATCATTGGGGTAAACACTGGCTATGGTGTGTTGTTCTGCACTATTGTAAAGCCCACTAGCCTTATGTGGTTGCTTATGGTAGTCATTTCAGCCCCCCAGTTGACCAGAGAGGAGAAAAGAGAAAATGGACTTGAAGCTAGATCTCCTGTCATCAATTTGACAACATGCAACAAGGAAGAGATGTGTGAGGCCAAGGCATGGATCCAAAGAATACTGACCCTCCGGAACCAACACATCATTAAGAATAATCATATTCTGTACCTCGGGAAAGAGGAACATGACCTTTTGTCTCTGCTTCAGAAAACCTCAAATGTCTCCATCTCAGAGATTATCACACCGGGAGAGGCATGGTTAGAGATTAAAGGAGCCCAGACTGACCTCATTGAGGCGGTTCTGAGCATTGAACATATGCTGTGCAAAGTTCAGGAAGAAGTGGCAAGAAAAAAGGAGCAAGGACTTTGGAACTTGTTAGGTGAGTAATTTTTCACTAGGTTAGAAAGTCAGCTCTCCCAACTGTTCCTTCTATGGAGCATAAATGTATATGTATGTATGTGGGTAAGAAAGAGAATGGGAGAGGAGAAAGCAAACCATTCTAGTTCTGTGTTAGATCATAAACTTGTATGAGACCTTTTTTTGCTCTCTTTCTACCATCAGGGTTAGTCATCAGTAAATGAACACACACACACACACACACACACACACACACACACACACACACACAATTGGATTCACTTATAATAACATGGGTTGCTTAAGTGGCAATTACAGGGAAAGCCTAGGGTAAAACCGAAGCCTAAGCCATGGGGAAAAAAGTACATCCCCGATTTTGCAGATGAAACATTTAAATGTAGACACATTCCACCTGATTAATTTATTTCTTTTATGAGTTTTATTGCATTTATTTGTTGCTGACAGCATTAGGAACTATAAAATTGCTCACTTTGAGCCCTCTCAACAATGAAATTATTCACTGGTAATGTGAGGTACACTCAAGTACCTCTCATTAATGGGGGCTAAACTCATCAGGGTAACTGTGGAATTTGGGTCTGGCGAGATCCTTTTAACAGAGCCCAAAGCGAACTAGGAAATTATACCTTTTATAATGCCACTCTGGGAAAGAGAGGATTATTTCATTCAACTAGTGCATACTGCACCCATGATTTGTGTCAAGCATTGTGTTAGGTGTAGGGGCTACAGTGATAAACAAGATGGACATTTGGACAAGTAATCAGGTTAGTTATAATAAAGAGGGTGAAAGTGCTCTGGGATCATTGAGGAGACGCACCTAACTCACACTGGGGAGATCAGGGGCAGCCTTCTTACAGGTGTCATAAATGGAGAACTAATTAATAACTAGAAGTTAACTAGGCAAAGAAAGAAAGTTTCAAGAAATAAGACTGTCACAGGGCCTAGATTGTACAAAACCTTATTAATCACATGAAAGAGTTTAGAGTTTTTCTTGAAATAAATGGGGAACCTTGAGGGATTTTAAACAAAGATAAGATCAGACTTGTGTCTTAGAAAGATCGCTGGTTGTAATGCAGAGAAAGATTTAGTAAGACATACAAAGATTTAGATGCAAGATTTCAAAGGACACCTTATTTTCACCATGTGTTTGTATTAAATAAAAATAATTCAGGAGGAAATGCTCGAAGTAAGTGGGAGTTTGTGATAAATATTGTATCCACATTCCACAGAAAACCAGTGTCAAAAAACTGTAGATAGGCCGGGCGCGGTGGCCCCACGCCTGTAATCCTATCACTGTGGGAATCTGAGGTGGGCGGATCGTTTTAGCTCTGTAGTTCAAGACCAGCCTGAGCAAGAGTGAGATCCTGTCTCTACCAAAAATAGAAAAAATTAGCTGGGCATGGTGGCGCATGCCTGTAGTCCCAGCTACTTGGGAGGCTGAGGCAGGAGGATTGCTTGAGCCCAGGAGTTTGAGGTTGGTGTGAGCTAGACTGACACCATGGCACTCACTCTAGCCTGGGCAACAGAGTGAGACTCTGTCTCAAAAAAAAAAAAAAAAAATTGTAGATAAAAATAATACACAAGTGTGACAACCAAGATTATGATTCCCACTTAGTTTATGGCAGTGGTCCCCAACCTTTTTGGCACCAGGGACTGGTTTCATGGAAGACAGTTTTTCTATGGACCAGGGGTAGAGAGAGTAGGGTGTCATGTCGGGGGGAGGGGTTATTGAGCTCAGGTGGTGATGTGCAGCCTGTTTCCTAACAGGTCATGGACCCTTACCAGGCTGCAGCCTGGGGGTCGGGGACTGCAGGTTTATGGGATGTTATGAATGTGGATGTTTACACTGACACCAGTGTCAGCTCAGAGAACAGAATACAAACAAACACTAATTTCCTATAAAGCTTGTGGCATTACTTTAACTGCATTCATAAAGTTGACCCATTCTCCCAGCTATTGGCAATTTAGAGTCATGTAAGCCCCTTGTTCTGCTGCAAGATGGCATTTTTTTTCAATTTTTTTAAAACTTTATATAAAAGCTGTATTATAAATACAAAGCTAAACTATTTGAGTACTAATAACACAGTTCATACAAAGAAACTTAACAGTAGTAAAATACAAATACACAAGATGCGTATTTTTGGTCCTTTTGGAAAAAAACAACAAAGTTAGTTTCTTTTTTTACATGGCTCCAGGCACAAAAATAGAATATAAGATGGTAACTGCAACATTCTTAGTGTTTATCCTTGCAATTTTTTAAACGTCACCAGTCATAATAGCAATGAACTCCTCTTGATTTATTTCTCCATCACCATCTTTATCAAATTCTTCTATCATAGCTCGGAGTTCTTCATCACTCATGTTTTCACCCAATTCTCTGGCAACGTGCCGCAAATTCCTCAAGCTGATTTTACCTGAATCATCATCATCAAATAGTTTAAATGCCTTCAGTATTTCTTCATGTGGATCTCTTTCCAATATCCAGTCTGTCACAACTTCATTAAAATCTTCAAAGGTGATTTTCCCTGTGGCTTCTCTGTCATAATCTTTAAGAATCTTCAGTACATCAGCCTTTTTTACATCAAACCCCAAGGCTCTCATTGCCACCTTTAATTCATGATAATCTATTGCTTCATCTTTGTCTGTATCAAATAACTCAAAAGCATCTTTAATTTCTTGTTTCTGTGCCTCAGTGAGTTCTCTTCTTTTTTTCCTCTTAGTTTTGTCTACTACAAGCTCGCTTCTCAGAGCTAAACTCATTTTCTCTTCGGACAAAGACGTTCTTCTCAAGAACAATTTTTAACCCCTACCCAAGGCAGCAGGACTTCCACAAGCCGTTCGTTCAACCAAGATGGCATTTTTGGTAGTTGATGACTAAGCATATTATTCCACAACAGCATCTCAGACGTTCATGCAAATACACCCTTTCTTAATCGGATCTCTACAATAAAATGGATAATTTTGAGATGAGTTATTATAAGGAACATCAAATATCCATCATAATGATAAACTTTTTTAAAAATCAAAGTTAGGCATCCCCTCCTTTTTATGTTACTCTTTTAGTCCTTCCTAGTGAGTGCTTCTGACCGTAGAAGTGTGTGATCTTTGCATCCCCAGTACCCAGCCCAGCGCCTGGCATCTTGGAGGAGCTCAGTAAAAATGTTTGTTGAACTCAAGTGAACTGCACTCTAATGTTACACCTTATAAATGTGAGCTATTGCTCTTCAAAGTTAATTTAATAGTCTCTTCCTTTGAAGTTTCCTGGCTTTGGACCTCCCCTGCCATGGAGTTTTGTCCTTCCTGCTTTTTCAGATTTACAACTTGGCTGGATAGTGAGTTCCTCTTGGTCTATCACCTGCCTTTTGTGGTTAAATTGAGCCCACTCAGTTAGATAATGTACTGGGGATTAGGTCATTTTAGTATACTTGGCCGTAAGTCAAATTGAGAATAAACCAAGAGAAGACAGCCTTTTTTTGGTTTCCATTGTCCACTTGTACATTTAGTCCAATAAAGAGCTCATTTGGACAAAAACAGTTTGTCTCTTGAATTTAAAAAAGGAAGGAAAGAAGGAAAGAGGGAAGGAAGGAGGGCACTAGGAAAGAAGAAAAGAAAGAAAAAGAGAGGGAGGGAGGACAGACAAGACACCATAGACTCTTTTTTGTTGTTTTTGTTTTTTTTTGAGACATATAAGTGTAAGAAACCATAGACTCTTAATCTCCAAATTTTGCTCTTTATTGTTGGGTGGTATCTGAGTGATACATGTTCCAAGTATTATACCTTGTTCCCTTACAGAAAGCACTGGTGGAAAGCCAGGTTTATAATCTTAGATCTTTACTTACTGGCTGTGTGATATTAGGCAAATTACTTAACTTCTCTGAACTTTAGTGTCCTTATTTGTAAAATTATGTTAATTATTTCAATGGTGGTGCTGTAATGATCAAACTGGATAAAGATTGAAATCTCTTTGAAAACTTTGAAGCATTATATAAATGTCATATCCTTTTCCATCACTCCTTAATTAATGTTTTCTTATGCCTACCTCTTTTTGCTCATAGGCATTGGGGCTAGAAATAAAAACATTTCCTATGAGCAACACAATTATATATCATCATACAGCACTGCTTGTGGGGAAAGGTTATATATTAATGCTCTTTTTTTCTCACATCTCCTTGGCCTCACCATCTAAGTTATCCAAACACAAATTTATTACCCCTCTATTTTATCCTATGATTTCTCATAGTATTATAGCTTTCCTTACAAGTCCTATACAATATGAGGCATACAGTTTAAATTGCCTAATCTCTTTCTCCTAATTTCTGTTTTTGAATTTGTTTTCATTAAATTTCTTTACAAACTCTCTTCCCATTATCTCCAAATAAGGTCACACATACAAAAAAGAATAACAAACTCTTTTCCCTCTTACAGAGCCTTGAGAAAAAATATTGTGTTACTCATTTTTAGGACAATGGACTCATCAGCAATCAAAAAGCCAAGATGAAATGAAAGAAATGAAAATCATGTTTCTGAAATATTCAGTGCCTTTAACTGAAGAACTTCAGGATCAAAAGAAACAGTTTGAAAAATATGGTTTGCGGGTTATAAAGGTATACCTAATTAAGGGGAGGATTTGGCTCTTCTTGCTATTAATTTACTTGGTTCTGTAGCAAAAAGAAAAGCCCACCTGGCTGGGGGCAGTGGCTTATGCCTGCAATCACAGCACTTTGGTAGACTGAGGCGGTAGGATCACTTGAGTCCAGGAGTTCAAGACTGCAGTGAGCTATGTTGACACCGCTGCACTCCAGCCTAGGCGACAGAATGAGACCCTGTCTCTAAGAAAGAAAAAAAATTTTTTCAATTAAAAAAAAGAAAAAAGCAATGATAGCAAAAAAAAAAAAAAAAAAAAAAAAAAAACTCACTTACTGATGGCTCTAAGCTGACTCTAAGCTAGCTGCTCATGTACCTGGAACCCTAGGTCAGTAACGCTGGAAGGAGAGCAGGGAAGGGCAGGCATGAGGAATATAGTTGGAATGAGGAGGTAGAAATTATGTCAGGACATACAGAAACACAGATTCTAGATCCAGAAAAGAGCCATCTGCCTATTTTTGAGTGAAATCAAAGAAGTGGAATAGCAGTTATTACTGTATTATAATTGTTTACCTATTTTATTAATATCTCTCACTAAACTGTGAGTTTTAAGAGGACAGAGACTATGTCTATGTTGTTAACTATTTATTTTGAAATGTCTAATTTCAAATCAAAAGTTTAGCTTGAGGTCAGGAGTTCAAATCAGTGGGAGCAAGAGCAAGACTCCATCTCTACTATAAATAGAAAGAAATTAATTAGCCAAGTAATATATATAGAAAGAAAAATTAGCCGGGCATGATGGCACATGCCTGTAGTCCCAGCTACTTGGCAGGCTGAGGCAGGAGGATTGCTTGAGCCCAGGAGGTTGAGGTTGCCATGACCTAGGCTGATGCCATGGCACTGACCCTAGCCTGGGCAATAACGGGAGACTCTGACTCAAAAAATTAAATGAATGCATGCATGCATGCATGAATGAATGAATGAATAAAAGTATGTTAAAAAATACATAGAGGGAGGGTTCTCCGCTTTAGCCATTATTGTGGTTAATCATTTCACTGGTCTCAGCTGGGCCAAAAACAAGGCCTGTGGGTCTGGGGACTGCTCAGAAGTTTTAAGAAAGGATTGAACTCCTCTTGGGGATAGAGGCCAGACTACAAGTTTCCAACATCAGGGGGTGGGGGGGAAGTTTTAAAAGGACACAAAATGTTTCTGTCCTTTATTTTTTTTTCCCTCTGTGTAGACCATTCCCTCTATTACACTGGGAAATTCATGATGTTGAATATTTTTTCCTGGGAGAAACTTTGTGGTCGGCTATGTTAAGTAGGAAGTGTGTTTTATATGTTTCCAGGACATCATAAAAAATTCAGCAGACTCATCTATGATCATTAGGGAAATGAATGATTTTCCTCTCCTAAATGTGGAGGTACCACAACAAGCTGCAGGAGGACCCTCCGGGACACCTATCCAGGGACAGAGGCCCCTCTGGAATGTGTCACTCACCCTATTCATTTAGAAATGTATACTTTCAAATCAATAAAATTTCCCCCACCCAGGTTACTGTAGTCAAGTCCCTTCAATCTGATCCCTAAGTCTGTTCAGCCTCAGTCCACGACCAAGGAAGGCCCACTCTGTGAGACCAAGGAGCCCGGTGCCCAAAAGGAATAAGGACAGGCACCCACGTGCACGCACAAAAAAAAAAAAAAAAGTTTACCTTATTATATCTCAAACAAGAAGCAGTACAATTAATCAAAGTATGCACCTAAACTATCAACACAGTTTTGCCATCTTAACAGTAGCTTGTTTATGCCAGCAGCAAAGAAGCCTGGAGAGCTGGTGGCAATGAAATCATGGAAGGCATTTCCCACAGCTTGTTGAGAATTGGATATTTTTCCTTGCAAGAGTGGTCCAAAGCCTAGAAGTGGTAGTCAGTTAATGCAAGGTCTGGTGAATACGGTGGATGACAGAGAGTTTCCAAGTCCAGCTCCTGTAGCTGGAGCAGCATTGTTTTTGTGACTGGGGTCTTGCAAGAGGATTGGCCTATCTCTATTGACCAATCTTGGCTGCTTAATCGCAGGCATCCTCATCATTTCATCCAATTGGTTGCAGTAGACATCTGCTATAATCAATTGACCAGATTTCATGAAGCTGTAGTGGATAATACCAGTGCTGGACCACCAAACAGATACCATTAGCTTTTTTTGATGAATATTCGATTTTGGACTGTGTTTTCGCACTTTGTCTTTATCCAATCATTGTGCTGAACACTTGATATTGTCAAAAAGAATCCATTTTTCATCATATGTGACAATATGGTGTAGAAATGATTCACCTTTATGTCGTGACAGCAAAGAAAAGCAAGCTTCAAGATGGTCTCTCTTCTGATGCTCATTTAATCCATGTGGTACATATCTATTTAGCCTCTTTACCTTGCCCCTTTGTTTCAAATGGTCCAATATTGTTGGAATAATAATGTCAAACCCTGCTGTTAATTCATGCATAGGTTGAGATGGATTTGCTTCCACTATAGCTTTCAGTTTATCATTATCCACCTTGGTCTCAGGTCACCCATGTGGCTCATTTTCAAGATTAAAATCACCAGAATGGAACTTCTTAAACCATCACTGTACGGTCATTCATTAGCCACATCCTTCCCAAACACTTTGTTGATATTTTGAGTTGTCTACACTGCATTGTTTCCACAATGGAACTTATATTTAAAAATAACACAAATTTTTGACTTATCTATAGTTTTACAAAAATTGCTCTAAAAAAATTTGAAAGATAATCACAAGCCAAAACCATGCATTTTAAAGAATGAGGATGTACCTTTACAAAAAAAAAAAAAAAACCAACCAAAAAACCAAGAAGTGTCAAAGTGAAATGTCAGAGATATCAACTGTCAAACTTAGTACTTAAGGAAATCAGACATCCCATACTTAATAACCTAATATTTTCATCACCAGTGCCTGGTACATAGTGATTGCTCAGTGAATTTTCATTAAATTAATTTATCAAAGAAGGAACACAGGGAATTTTGAAGAGCTAGAAGTCAAAGTAGAGGATTGGGGGGAGGAGGTAGAGGATTGGGGGGAGGAGAGCCTCTTATGCAACTTTATATGAAAAGCAAATTTCATGCAAATTAATATGCACATAAACATCTTTATTTTTGAAGCAGTATAACAGGCAATTTAAGGAGTTGTTCTCCAGCCTCTTTTTCACTTTTTCTTTTCCTTGGTTGTAGGTAGAGGAGATAAAGAATGAAGTTCTCATGACTGTCTTCCAAAGAAAGAAGAAAATGATGGAAGGGAAATCACATGGTAAACCTGTGAGCCACATACTGTTTCAGCAGGTCCCACACCAGTTTTGCACTACGGTGTGCAGAGTTGGCTTTCAGAGAATGTACTCAGAGCCCTGTGGTAGGTGTCAGCTCCTCATCATTGTGGCTACTCTGTGAGAATTTGTGAGCAGGCATCAGCAGATAGTTCACTACTAATAACATTTGTTGCTCTGGGGAGGGAGATCATTGGTGACTAGAATTTAGAGGTAAAATCTTTTGGAAAGAGTGATATTTTTCACTTTTCCTTCATATCTTTTGTTGGTGATGGATTGTACATTGATGAAAGTGTGAGCAGTAAGATCCATAGTTCTGGCCAGGTATGGCAGCTGATACCTGTAATCCTTGCACTTTGGGAGGCTAAGGTGGGAGGATTGCTTGAGCCTGGAAGTTTGAGATCACCCTGAGCAACATAGTGAGACTTCTGTCTCTACAAAAATTTTTTTAAAAATTAGCCAGGCATGGTGGTGTGCACCTATATAGTCCCAGCTACTTGGAAGGTTGAGGTAAGAAGATTGCTTGAGCCCAGGAGTTCCAGGCTGCAGTGAGCTATGGTGGCACTACTGCACTCAACAACAGAACAAGACTGTGTCTCTAAAAACAAAACAAAACAAAAACAAAAACAAAATCTGCCGTTCACTGTTTTGTTAAATGTATAAGTCCTGTGTCCTATCCGTAGAGAGCAGCTGGGGCTGTTTTTTTTCCCTTGCTTATTTCAACAAAATTATTACCAACAGCACTGAATCATCCTCATCCCTTAGTTAAAAGGGCATTTTCCTAAATTTAAGAAAGTTGGTCTTTTCTCTTCTATCCTCTTAATTTCCTGTAGCCTGCTAGTGAATGAATTAGGTATCATTTGGCAGGTGAAGTGAATAACATCTTAAGATCCTTCTCAGCCATGGAGTTCAATGTGTAGCTTCTATGTCTCTTCTCAGTTGTACAAAAATATTGTATACATAATTGCTATATTGTCCCCTTCTGGCTTCATATATCTGCAAAGGAGGATAAGAAGTTTACTAATAATCATGAAGGTTACCTAGCAGTGCAGCTTGATTTTGCCTGGTCCATTAAATAGGTGGCTCTTAAGTGTTACCTTTCAAAATACATAGCATGATCCTTGCTGTAGAGTCAATCTACAGCAATAGTTTTTTTTTTTTGTTGTTTTGTTTTTTGAGACAGAGTCTTACTTTGTTGCCCAGGCTAGAGTGCCATGGCATCAGCCTAGCTCACAGCAACCTCAAACTCCTGGGCTCAAGCGATCCTCCTGCTTCAGCCTCTCGAGTAGCTGGGACTACAGGCATGTGCCACCATGCCCTGCTAATTTTTTACATATATTTTTAGTTGGTTAATTAATTTCTTTCTATTTTTTTTTTTTTTTTTTAGTAGAGACGGGTCTCGCTCTTGCTCAGGCTGGTCCTGAACTCCTGCCCTTGAGCGATCCACCTGTCTCGGCCTCCCAGAGTGCTAGGATTATAGGCACGAGCCACTGCCCCTGGCCAATTCCAGTGATCTTGATGTCTAGAAAGCAAAGAGTCTGGAAATCATTTTGTCTTTGTCCCAGAGAGAACACAGGCAATACTTGGGGTAAAAATTGAACATAGACAATTCTTGGAGGTAAAAATAGAGACATGAATTCCACCAAGAAGTCTCCTGAGTGCAACCAGGAAAGTGATGATCACTATAGTCCCTTCATTGGCAAAGTCTTAAAAATCTACAATTTCCATTTGGTCCTAAGCTGGCTTCTCTGCATTCCTCACCTGCTTACTTCTACTTAAACTACTTTAACTAAGATTGTCACTATCCTGCTAGTTTCTAAATCTAGTGAGTACCCTCTTTTCAGTCCTGTGGCAGACACTGCTAACTGCCTACCCAACATCTGTGTATCCCTTTCTTCCCCAAACATCTGAAACACTCACCATATCCCCAAGGATGATAGTCCCAAAGTCTTAGCCAGTTTCATCATCCGCCTCAAGTTCAGGCACTTATCTCTTAAAGCTTAAAGGCAAGATATTGCTCCAACATACTTATATAATGATATGAGAAGGAGCAGGAAAATTGCGATAAAAATTCCTATTTTGAAAGGGGAGAAGGAAAACACAACAGTCACTGGCTCATACCACTTATCACATGCTGCTGGACAGGAATAGTAAGGATTCCCTATTCTGGGAGTAGAGCGAAACCCTTGCTTTTCACTCTGGGAAAATCTTTCTTATATATTGTGGCCCTTGACCATTTCTAGGTCCATTGCCTTACCAGAGGGCCGTGGATTGCCTTGCAGGCTAGAATGTGTTCCAGCTGTTGCAGACAGTCTTGTAGTTTCTTCAGCAATACAGTTCCTTTAAAAACTCAGCAGACATGAGGCGTATTTGCTTCTGGTGAAGTTTATGTCTTTATAACTCAGCCACAGATCTTGTCTCCAGATAGTCTTTTAAGCCTCAAGATTTTGATCTTTTACCTTCTGGCCTCTGTGCTCTGCCCATTTCCCTATCCCTTATCTGAACAGCCACTGCCTTGAGACAGTTCAGACACCACCCGTAATGTGACCTGTGCCAATGAACTCATCTCTGTGGGCTGGTGAGAACTCTTAACAGACAGTGCTAGACAAGCCAGGAGACACTAATCTTAATACCACTGAAGCTGTTGTCATCTGGAGTATAAAAGTTCTTGGGTTTTTCAGGCCTGCAATGTTCCAAATATTAGGACTCTCAGTCAGTTTAGATGGCTACCCACAGGCAGAGGAGTTTCTGTTAAGAAAGCTTTATTTTCTTTTTTCTATTTATGTTTACATTCCAGCCAGTTCTGAGTTAATCTGATTTGTAGGACTTGGTTGAATGCAGCAAGAAGACTACACACTTGCCATTTCTCACTGGTCTATTCATTTGTTCCATAAGTATTTATTAAGCACATTCTATGAATCAGGCCCTGTGTTAGGGGTGCTAGAGATAACAGCAGTAAACCAAAAAACATGGAATTCTTGCCCTTACAATTTATAATCTAATGAGTTCATCTGTTGCCCATTCTTTATCTTCTGTCTTTTTCCTCTACAGCTGCGATCCCCAATGCCTGGGCCCTCTGGGTGATTGCATTTGTTCCCACGGCCTCAACTCCTACCTCTAGGATGGTCAGTTAGGAATTTCCTTTTTTTTTTTTTTTCTTTTTTTTTTGAGACAGAGTCTCACTTTGTTGCCCAGGCTAGAGTGAGTGCTGTGGCGTCAGCCTGGCTCACAGCAACCTCAAACTCCTGGGCTCAAGCGATTCTTCTGCCTCAGCCTCCCAAGTAGCTGGGACTACAGGCATGCGCCACCATGCCTGGCTAATTTTTTCTATATATATATTAGTTGGCCAATTAATTTCTATTTATAGTAGAGACGGGGTCTCGCTCTTGCTCAGGTTGGTTTCGAACTCCTGAGTTCAAAGGATCCACCCGCCTCGGCCTCCCAGAGAGCTAGGATTACAGGCGTGAGCCACCGTGCCTGGCAAGTTAGGAATTTCTAGTTCTAACCTCCTACCTCTCTCCTGACCTCGAGGTCCATATATCCAACTGTCTTTTGGTCATCTTTCCCCAGATGTCCCATAGGCACCTCAAACTGAGCTCTTTTCTTGGCCATGATTTTCCCTAAATATGCCCTTTGTTTTCTGATTCTGCCTAACCTGGCTAAATACCATCACCACCTACCTATCAGGTCTCCTAAACCTGAAATGTTATCCTCCATTCCTCCCTGTGTCTCACCTTTATATCCAGGCAGTCATCCAGTCCTAGTGACTTAATCTCATGAAAATCTTAGCCTCGCGTCACCTCTCTATTCCTATTGCCTCAGTTTGTCTTCCCTTAGATCTAGACTATGACCAGGTCCTTTCCTTGCCTCAAAACACGCCCCTACCTAATCTGTCAGTTACTCTGCCACTAGAATTATCATGCTAAAAAATTACATTCTTGCTTAATATCTATATTCCCAGTTGCCTACAAGATAAAAACCCAAACTCCTTAGCAGAGCACATAAGGCTCTCACTTCTACACTATTTCCCCAGACTCATTACCCACTGTGCCCCTCAACAGTCTAGCCATTAACTGTTTAGAGTTCCTAAACATGCTGTGTACTTTCATGTCTCTATACCTTTGTCTGTAGAATGACTTCCCTCCTCACCCTTTTTAGCATGATAAACTCCTGTTCTTTCTTTAAGAAATGGCATCCTGGTTGGTACCTTTCCCAACTCCTGCAGGCCTAGTGTGTTGTTTCCTCTTCTGTGTTCCTGTACTTCCTCCATTCCCTTGTTACAACGTTTATAACTTTAGCACGTATTACAATCTATAGTCCTATACAATGCAGGCACAGAACTGGTTTTCTTTATGGTTCTAGAACTGAACTTTACCTAGCTGTCATGCACCCATGTTCACAGATGCAGAGAACTGGAATCTTGACAGTTCAGGATGAACTCAGTTCTTTTCAGAGATTTCTTAGTCCCTTCAGGGTTTAAACTCCTACAACATTTTGTTCTTTTTCTTTCCTTTTCTCTGCGAGTGATTTAGATGGTGGGAGAGGCATTGTGGGGAAGGTTGTCTGGCTCAAGGCTCCCATTTGTTCTGTGCCTCCTACTGCCCTCTGCTAGATAAAGGACCCTGGGCTTTGGTCATTAGCACTCACCTGTGCCCTTTGAACTCAGGTAGTATCTGCATAGACCACTGTCTCTCTCATACTGAAGGAATTCCTTTCTAGGCCATGTCTGTGCTCCTCCTGTAGTGAAGGAAATTTTTTTTTTAAATTTTATTTTGGCATGTTATAGGGGTACAGATTTTAAGGTTTCAATAAATGCCCTTTCCTCCCCTCCCCCCACAAGTCTGAGTCTCCAGCATGACCATCCCCCAGATTTTTGAGCATGCATATCCTCTAAGCTGAATGCAGGGTCTTCTATAATGGGTCTCTTCTGTTCTGGAGTCTTTCCCAGCCATTGGGGAAGACTACCCTCCCCTCATGTACCAGGCTGGATGAGGGAGTACACCCAGCAGAGTCGGGCAATGGTCCCTTCTGCCCTGTGAGTCCCTCCAGTTGTTCTGCCCCCTCCCAGGGCTCTCTCGAGGGAGTGGTGCAGTGAAGTGAGTCCTTTCTCAGACTCCCCAAGAGCTATAGTCATGTCCCATTTGATTCTTCTCTTCCCACCAGCGGGAAGAAAGAAGTTCTATTTGTCTTGAAGTGAGAAAAATGTTCTTAGAATATCTTGTATTATTCTCCCCTCTGTGTTTATGTTCTGAATCCTTGAGGTTTTTAGCCTTTAGTTCAGAAAGCCTTCTTTCTCTCAGGAAACCTAACTCTGAAGCCAGACTTTCAGGAGCATCTCTTCTATGAATTAAAAATAATTATATATCATATATAAACACACACACATATACACATACAGTAATATATATATTCAATTGACTTTGTTCTAAACTTTATCCTTTTTGCCCTTGAGGTAATACATAGCAAGTACTCAATGGGTGGAAGAACAAGGAGCAAGAAAAAACTCTTGGGAAGGAAAATCTTTTATCTTAAAATAGTACCTTGCCACATACAATTGTACTATATTTTATCTGTTTTCATGCAGAGAGTCCCCTTTGTGAACTTTTGAGAACAGGGATCATATCTTGCTCATTTTTTAAATCTAGAGCTGCACTCTTCAATATGATAGCCACTAGCCACACGCAGCCATTGAGCACTTGATGTGTGGCTAATCTGCATTGAGATGTGCCTGAGTATAAAATACACACTGGATTTCAAAGACCTACTACAAAAGAAAAGAATGTAAAATATATCTCTAATTAATTTTTGTATTTATTAACAGATTGAAATGATAACATTTAGAATAGGGTAAATAAAAATATTAAAATAATTTCACCTTTTGCTTTGTACCTTTTTTAATGTGGCTACTAGAAAATTTTAAATTTCACATGTGCCTCATAATGCATTTCTATTGCTCAGTGCTGCTCTAGAGCCTAAACAGTGTTTGGTTAAGACCTATGTAAATGTAAAGAAAAAGAAAAGGAGAGAAGGAAAGAAGAAATAAAGGAAGGAAGGAGAATATAGCCTCAAAGTTTTAATTTTTTTCTCTTTAAGAGAGGATAGAAAGGTCATTGAACAGGGATTACCTTGAGGTCCAGAATTTGGCCCTCAGCCTCCTGGGAGAGTTCTTAATACTCCAAAGAAGATAATACAGATCACAAGCAATATGTCAGAGTAGAGTGGTTGGAATAGGGCACATCCTCCTTAGTTTCACGGACGCCAGAATGCATGATAGGTGGAAGATTGCCTGGTGAATATGAACCTAGATCAAAAGCATGTAGAGATTCTTTGTGGGGTATTACACAAGGCCATGTTGAGCAATGATGACCTATCCTTGTCCCACAGTACAGACTACCCACCTAGTGACCAAAATGTCTGTGCTCCCCAATCCAGGGGTGGTCTTCCTAAACAATGAAGCATGCACACTGACATTTTATATGCTCATCATTCCCCTTATTTTGACATGCTTGTAATTCTTGTAATTCTGTGCATGAGATTGGGAGACACTCTGCTTTCTTTTATTAGATTTTTTTAAAAGCCAAATTCTCAAAAGTTCTAGAGCTATTCCTGTTGATAGCTTGTAGAAGTCAGACAGTGTTCTAAGAGAAACAGAACCTTCCCTCCATTGTTTTCTCTTTGTCAGCTGCTTAGTTGATAATATTAACCTGAATCACAATCTCTCTGAATCTGAGATCTTTCATCTTTTAAATGCAGATACTATCCAAATCATAAATTCCATTTAATCAATGTAAAAATACTTTGAAAACCACAGACTTCTCTATAAACTCTAATGATATATTCAAATGCAATCTCTTACTATGCTGATGATGTCAGTGATAATTTGTTTCAAGGGAACAACTTTGGGTACTTTTGCTACCGACACAGTGACTCAGGACCAAGAGATTATATATTAATTATATATATGTATTAGTAATAGTTTATATTAATATAACCAAGATATTATATATTAACTGAAGAGAAAATATATATTAATACCCAAATAGGCAATATCGTTCACTAGATCATAACAATCTTTGAAAACTTTTTTCTTTTATCAGATCCAAAATATGGAGCTGGCATATACTTCACCATGAATCTCAAAACCCTAGCAGACAAGGTCAAGAAAACCTCTGCCACAGATAAGCTGATATATGTGTTTGAGGCTGAAGTACTCACAGGCTTTTTCTGCCAGGGTGAGCAGTTAAGTATCGCCCCCCCACCATTGAGTTCTGTAGTCGTAGATGGTCATGATAGTGTGGTTGACAACGTCTCCAGCCCTGAAACCTTTGTTATTTTTAGTGGCATACAGGCTATGCCCCGACATTTGTGGACTTGTATCCAGGATCATGTATCGTTACAGGATTACTCATCGGGACCAATGATGTTATCACAGGGGCCTTGGGGGAAATTCACAAGTGGCAGCCCAGTTGATTAATCTCCACATCATTTTAATAACTGGCATGACCTTACTTTGGGAGAACTAACCAAATAATGACCATCAGTGATTCAAAGAGTTGTTTAAATAAGAGTGGATTATCTGTATGGACTGACTGGGTTATTGAAGGAACCAGCCACATACTAGTACCTTAGTGCCTTCATCTTTGTTTTTATCTCTTGGGGTTGGGGTGAGTAGATACCAACTAAAACACTCTCGGGACTGTTCTCTCTCCTTGCAGCTGTTCTTTCAGCTCCTTTATTATAGGTACAGCAGCAACAATGTTTTACATGTAATGAGATCTTTCTAGTATGTAATCCAAGCCTTTTAAAAATGATGAGAGTATGAACTATTAGGATGGCAGAATGATTTTAGGTTTTCCAGAGAATCTTACAAAATACTTTAGATATCAAAATAAATAACCTTTTTCTGAGTAACAGGTTCTGAAAAACTATGTCTTGAAATAAATGAAATAATTTTGAAGTAGAAGGATATAAGAAGGTTGATATTCTGTTTGGATTCAGCCATATCAAGCAATGCCACTCAAGCACCATGAGGCCAAATTATTAATCCACCAAATATTTACTGATCACCAGATATGTCTCATTCATTTTGTGGGTACTAGGGATATGATGCTGGATAAGACAAATGTCTTCACAAACCTTTTAGCCTGAATAATCAGGAAGGCAACTTGGGTGTGATTGGGTATAACAAAAAGAGAATTACAGTCTCTTTGGAAAAATTTAAGAGGGAGAGGGATAAATTAATCACAGGTTGAGGAAAGGTCACCAACTAAAGTGAATTCAAGCTGAGATCATAAGTGACATAGCAAATTGGGAGCAGTCAAAAGAGTATTTTTGGCAGAGAGAATAGCTTTTATAAAGGCTGAATCCACTGTGACTGCCCAAATTTGACTACAGAGTTCTATTTGTAATGTAGAGGCCAGCTAATCACACTATGCATCTCTTACCTACTTTAAAATCCATATTTCTCTGTGCTTCCAAACTCTTCTGACCACACATCTTCTTCCTTGCACAGAACACTTCCTCTTCCTTGTCTTACCTTAACCAGCATTCTCCCTTTCGAAAGAAGCATGCTTATTGTCTAATATGGTACTGCCCTTGAACATGTGGTTTGAAAGGTTCTCTGCCTTGGGCCCCTTGCTTGAGAGGGTCCCAGTCTAGCCCTCCTCTATTGGTGCCTATCCTCACAAGGTGGAGGAGTCCACAGGTCTAAGAGAATGGCTCCATCTGGAGCCTGCAGTCCTCACTCCTAAGCTACCCACTAGGTATCTGGAACCCCCCATTTTCCTGTTTAAACAGCTCTGAGTTTACATCCTGAGCCTGACTGGGTCTCATTCCTGAGTTTCTCCTCCCAAGGATGGACTGTGCCACAGTCTGTATCAAGAATGGCCAATGTCAGGGATGGGGCTTGGACATGGGGGCTGAGGTGTCCACATGCATAAGGCCTGTGGTGCAGAGCTGAGAGTGAGAGGACAGATTTGAAAGATCTAGCTTAAGTTTAATAGGAATTTTAAAAGAGAATGGAGGACTTAGCCGGGCATGGTGGCACATGCCTGTAGTCCCAGCTACTCGGGAGGCTGAGCAGTAGGATCGCTTGAGCCCAGGAGTTTGAGGTTGCTGTGAACTAGGCTGACGCCACGGCACTCACTCTAGCCTGAGCAACAAAGTGAGACTCTGTCTCCAGAAAAAAAAAAAAAAAGAGAGAGAATGGAGGAGATGCAAAGTTCACAAGAATTTAAAAAAAAAAAAAAGAAAGAAATCCATAACAAGAAACCATAGTGAAACCATAGACTACCAAAGAGGTGATCTTAAAAACACCTAGAGAGAACAGCCAAATCATCTATCAAGGAATGACAATTAGACTGACAGCATACTTTTTGTGGTAGGCAGAATAATGTCCTCTCTCCAATCTGCAAAGATGTCTACACTTTAATCCCCCGAACCTGCGAATACATTACCTAACATTGCAAAAGGACTCCACAGATATAATTGTTACACTTAAAATGGGAAGATTTGTTAGAATTATCCAGGTTGACCCAATCTAATCACTAAAGTCTTTAAAAGTAGAGAACATTTCCTAGCTGACTCAAAGAGATGGTAGCATGGGAAGGATTTGAGACCCTGTGCTGGTTCTTACAGATAGGACACTATGTACAAGGACTAGAGAGAAGCTTCTAGGAGTGTAGGATAGCCCCCAGCTGACAATTAGCAAGGAAACAGAGACCTCAGTCCTTTAATTGCATGGAACTGAATTCTGCCAACAACTGATTAGCAAGGAAACAAACTCAAGGGGCTTCAAAAAGGAATAAAGCTTGCCAACTGACACCTTGATTTTAGCCCAGTGAGATGCACATCTGATTTCTGACCTACAGAAATGTGAAACAATAAATTTGTGCCCTTTCAATCCATTAAAGTTGTGGTAATTTGTTATGGCCATAATAAAAAAACGAATACACTTTTCAAGAGCAACAATGGAAGCCTGAAGACATTAGTGTAATATTCAAAGGGCTGAGAGAAATTAACTGTTAGCCTAGAATTCTTTGATTAGCTAAACAATCATTTTGCTTTAATTTTTAAATAAAGACACTCTCAGATCATCAAAAACTGAATTTACCAATAATAGACTCTCACTTATGGAACTTTAAGGATGTACTTCAAGAAGAGAGGAAAGACCAAAGAAAAATCTAAGCTTCAAGAAGGCATTTTGAGCAAAGAAATGGTAAATATGTATAGATGTAAACAATCATTGTCTTTATAAAACTATAAATAGGAATGTCTAATTTTGGTTATAAGACCAAAATAAAATACTGTAAAATGGTGGAGTGGTGACTACAGTTAGTGTTTTAAAGTCCTTATATTGGGCCAGGTGCAGTGGCATGCACCTGCAGTCTCAGCTACTGAGGAGGCTGAGGCAGGAGGATCGCTTGAGACTAGGAGTTTGAGGTTGCAGTGAGCTATGATGACACTACTGCATTCTACGTGGGGTGACAGAGTAAGACTCTGTCTCAAAAAAAAAAAAAAAAAAAAAAGGAAGTCCACAAGTCAATTAGGTGAGCAATGGTGGCATGTGCCACCAGGTAGCCCCAGCTACCTGGGAAGTGGACACAGAAGGACTATTCAAACTTAGGAGTTTGAGGCTGCAGTGAGGTGTCATCACTCCATTGCACTCCAGCCTGAGCAACAGAGTAAGACTCCCTTCTCAAAAAAACCCACCAAAACCGAACAAACAAAAGAACTAAGTTGCACCCTGCAGCAAAGGTTGGCCTTTTGAACTTAGCTGACAATTATGGCCTAGGTTGGCCCTCTGGGGCTTAGGGGAGTGAGAGTCTTATAGTAAGGTGGCTCCTACTAGGCCTAGTGCAATTCTTCAGAGAATGTGAGTACCGGTTAGTATTAACAGCAGGTAGGGGAATGGGTGTACTGGTCAGAAGAAGGAGATGTGAGGAAGAGTGACCAACTGTCTTCATTTGCCTGACTTTCCAGATTTTAGCACTGAAATTTCCATAGCCTAGGAAACTCTCCCAGGACACAACTCCTAGTTTTCTGCGATGAGTGTGTAAGGTTAGGGGAAAAGTACAAAAGCCACATGACAGCCCCCACAACAGGGGCTGAAAACAATACTGTTTTTAGTGTCAAATAGACATAGCATAGATTATTCACCTTCTGTAGTCACTGTCATGTTTTCTTCTGCCCACTGATGTTGGCAGCCATGATTTGCAGTTCACAGTAATGATCATCCATTGTTGCATCACTCTGAGGGATGTGACTGAAGTGAGTTGTAATCACAAGCATTAACAGTCCACCTCTGGGTTTGCCTGTGAACTAACTGTTGGACCTTGTAAAAGTTGAATTTTTAAGATTGTGAATATTGTGACCATGTTTTATAAGAGTGGAGATAAAAATGAGAATGATTACAATACCAGCACCAGCATGACCCACTTATCACTGAAAATGAAATCTAAACAACTGTGTAATGTTAAAGATGGAAGATAATGTAATGGATTAGAAAAGTAAATAGCCAAAACAGAGCATATTATACAATGTGTGGAGATGAATTTGGGATTGGGTATGGTGGAGAAGGGGATGTGAAAACACATAAGGAGACTAAATCTTACAAGTCTCAGATGAGACAAACAAGTACTTTGAAATCAAAATGTTTAGTTTCCCAAAAAGGCACGAACGCTCAATCAAAAATACTGGCTGCTGAATTAGCTTGGGCATAGCACATGAACCATGTCATGTGCATTATTGACTCGCATCTTTGATTATTCTATGAAACTATTTAAGCTTACATTTCCTGATTCAAAACATGTTCCCTCTAGCTCTTGGGTAAATTAACATGAAAAATAGAGGTTTTTTTTGTTTTGTTTTGTTTTTTTTACTTCATAACAGCCTATTATTGAAGAAAAATGGAGTTTCAAATTGTCATCTTTATGTCTATTAAGATTTTAATGAATCCACAAAAACATAAAACAAAGGGTATAATATCTTGTCCAAATAAAAAACTAGACTTGGCTCATTTATCTGCTTTTGATGCAACTGTTAATTTTAACAAATTCTATTCAGTCTCTAACCTCTGACCAAAGAAAATGAAAGGATCTCATCTACGAAACACTGCTAATAGAGAGCTATGATTTGCTTACCTGAGATATATAGGCTTTCATAATGAAAGTGTTTGGTTATTTCAGTTTCTTCAAAATGTGTAGAAGTCTTTAATACAATTTTTAACTTTGGAAATGGAAGGAGATAACTTCTTAAACATGTGCCCATAAGATGGCTATCATCGTTGCTGACCATAGAAAAGATATTAGAATTATGGCCTGCCATAAAACCCTACCTCCAAGAGTAGAACCAAAAAGAATGTCCTGCTCCAAATGGAAATACCCTGAGAATGTGAATGGAGGGAGTTATAGTGAAATAAGAATAAACATACTGGGCCGGGCGCGGTGGCTCACGCCTGTAATCCTAGCACTCTGGGAGGCCGAGGCGGGCGGATTGCTCGAGGTTGGGAGTTCGAAACCATCCTGAGCGAGACCCCGTCTCTACTAAAAATAGAAATAAATTAATTGACCAACTAAAAAAAAATATATATATACAAAAAATTAGCCGGGCATGGTGGTGCATGCCTGTAGTCCCAGCTACTTGGGAGGCTGAGGCAGGAGGATCGCTTGAGCCCAGGAGTTTGAGGTTGCTGTGAGCTAGGCTGACGCCACGGCACTTACTCTAGCCAGGGCAACAAAAGTGAGAAAAAAAAAAAAGAATAAACATACTGGTTCTCTAAAACTGTCTGATAATCCTTGAAGAGGCCATAAAGAGCCTAGAAAAAGATGAACTGACTGACTTGAGTTTTTCATTGTTATGCGTAGGTTAAGACAAAAACTCCAACAGAAAAAAAAAGATTAATTTTTTGGAAATAGTTGTTTCAGAACTTTAGAAATCTAACTTCAATTTTACAAGTTAAAATTACATTTGTGCTTTAAATCACTTTCGCTGGGGGGAAAATGGTTTAACTGAGGATAACTCCAATGTGCTTCAGGGTGTTTTAAGAGTGATGGTGACCAGGCTGCAGTGGCTCACACCTTTAATCCCAGCACTTTGGGAGGTTGAGACAGGAGAACTGCTTGACGCCAGGAGTTAGAGACCAGCCTGGGCAACATAGCGAGACCTTGTCTTAATAAAAACTATAAGAAGGTTAGCATTCATGGTGGTGTGTGAGAACCTTTAGTCCCAGTTACTTGGGAAACTGAGGTAGGAGGATCACTGGAGCCCAGGAGTTCAAGGCTGCAGTAAGCTGTGATGGTGCCACTGCACCCCAGCTTGGGTGACAGAGTGAGACGAGACCCTGTCTCTAAAAAAAAAAAAAAAAAAAAAAAGGTGCTTATTTCACATACAGAGTGCCTACATGGTTAATTTATATATGCAAAGGACCTGATTGACAGACAATTGGCTGGGTTCACTAAAGCAAGTGTGAAGATACAAAGTTGATAGACATTTTGACAGCTGGAAATGAATTCCTAGAGGTATAAAAACCTGCTGTGCTAGAAAATAAAATCCTAAGTATGGCATGCTCAAACACTTTTGTTGAGAGAATATTTACCTTTATGTCAGTACTTTTCACTGACGAGGAATGGGTAAAATGTAGACAGAAGAGCAGAACTGCAAGTCGAAATTAATTTTACATTTTACTGTATTCTGTTTTACCATTACCTAAAAGAAAATAAGGATGCACCAAAGGTTCCGGCAGTTCAGAGAAGTATTAATGGAAAGGGAAATAGAAAGAATAAAAATATCCATGATGTCATGGGACAGCAAGAAACGTGTTATTTTTTATTTAATATAGGTAATAACTGTTTAATTTTTTTACATTCTTCTTTTAAAAATTCTTACATTTATGTAGCTCAAGAATATAGAATAATATAGCCTACAAAGTTTAAATATGCAGTAAAGCCAGGCACAGGTGGCTCACCCTTGTAGTCCTGCTACTTGGGAGGCTGACCTGGCAGGATCACTTGAGGCCAGGAGTTCAGTGACCCCCCTGGGTGATATAGCAGCACTCTGTTTCTTAAAAAAAAAAAAAAAAAGGCAATAAAGAGTGAAAATAGACAAATTACTATATCAGAGGACAGAAAGAAACATTATAAAAATATTGTTCTTGCACATATTTTTCTCCCATTTGCTTAGTCCTATTGATTGTTACTAGTTACCACTTTTAACCAGTCCTATTGCTACTTTCTTTAATAGCATTTATGCAACAGAATACAGCAGAATATATAATTTCAAGTAAATACCTATTTTTCACGTTTTTATGTTCAAGTAATAATATACATATAATTTATATTATTATTATTAATTTTCCCACCTACTAGATTGGCAAAAATTTAAAAGGTCAGACCTTTCCAAACGTTAGCAAGGATATGTGGTAAAGAGAACCTTATACATTGTTTGTGGAGTATAATTGGCACAACCATTTTGTGAACTAATCCATTAGTTTTCTATTACTGTGTAACAAACTGCCAGTAGGCTTAAAATATATTTATTATCTCATGGTTTCTATGGATTAGCAGTCCAGGCACAGCTTAGGTGGCTCCTTTGTTCAGGATCTCACAAAGTAGCAATTAAGGTCAGGCTTATCTTCTCATCTGGAGGCTTGACTGGGGAAGAATCTGCTTTTAACCTCTCTTAGGTCATTGGCAGAATTCATTTTCTGGTAGTTGTATGACTGAGAGCCCTGGTTTCTTATTGGCTGTTGGCTGGAGGCTGCACTCAAGTCCTAGAAGCCATCTGCAATTCCCTGCCATGTGGCCCCCTCCAGAGGCAATTTACAAAATGACATCTTACTTCTTCAAGATTAGCATTACAGTCTCTAGCTCCAGTTGGCTAAGGCAGAATCTTATATAATGAAGTGTAATCATGGGGGTGACATCCCATTATCTTTGCCATATACTATTGGCTAGAAATAAGTCAAAGGTCCCACCTACACTCAAGGGGTGGCTGGGGATTATCCAGGGCAACACCAGGGTTCCATCTTAGAATTCCTCCTACCATGTCAAGAAATGTTAAAGATGCAACGTCCTAGGATTTAGCTGTTTCCCAGTCCATAGTAGAGATGTACAAGAATGTTCATAGCAGCATTGTGATAGCAATACTGTTCTACACTTTACATTTCTCAAAATACAAAGTTATGCAGTCAGAAAGACATTAGCGTATAAAACACTATGCATGGTATAACATTTTTGTAAAGGTAGCATATATAGGAATTCTGCTTTCAGCAATGACTTACTGTTGTTGTTTGGACCAACCCTGCCACCACTGAGAACAACTGGACAAAATATAAAAAACACTAGTGCACTGAAGACTTACCAAGGTAGTTTGTGGGTGCAAAATTGGAAAGAAAAAGGAAACCCCAAGAGGTGAGCCTGACATTTGTCGTTACTTACCCAAAGCTGAGGTGATTTTGCTGATTCTGAAAGGAATGGCTGAAAAACTGAGCAGAGCTTTTGGCTGTCTCATGGGGTTAAGAAGGCCAGCCAAAGAGAAGAGGCTTTAGTAAATACCCCAAACTTTTGGGTGGGACCCTCAAAGACTATACACTAGGTAGGAATAAGAGTGAACTAGAAATTAATTAGCTTTCACAAAGATTAAAGTCCAACTCTGAATAATAAATCTTAGTTACTGATTGGAATAAAGTGATCTGCCTTCAGCCTAGCTGTGGTCGGGCATACTTGCCCTTAAGTCTCTGCCACACAACACCTTCCCTTTCCCAAACCCCCTTGCTCAAACTCAACTCTGATCTTAGTAAACACACTATCAGTGTGGTAATGCTGATGCAGCGGAGAGAGATCCAGGACAAATGAACATTGCATAACGTAGGATTCAGGGAGTGTGGTCCTCTCTTCCCTTCCCTCCCACACTTATACATATTTTAATCTACCCCATCTCTTTCACCTTGCATCTCAACGAATGTTTTAACTTGATTTATATGAGTCTTTTGTGAGACTTTTCTGTTCCGAAACCTCTGCTGGGCTGGCTACTGTTTTCCTTCTTTTGAAGCCACTACTCCATTTTGCTCCCTCAACAGAATTCCATCAGATTTAATATTACAACCATTTGCCCCAAATTTTCATTTGAGAGCACTTATTGGGAGTTAAGCATTTGTGTTTCATTTAATTTCTTAATGATTTTTGATACTACTCATATATTATCTAGCAAAGGGGATGGGAGAGAACTAAAAAAACAGGAATACCTAGAAGCTTCCTGCAAGAGTGCTGCATATGAACCCTTCAGACATGAGGCGCTGACTTAATCTTTCAGCCTTCAATCATTCCATCATTCATTCCCTAAACATGTATGAGGTACCTACACTACCACGTTAGAGGATAGATATGAAGAGGGGAATGAGGATCCATCCGCCCCGGAAGAGCTTAGTGAAGACAGGTTTGTAGAACTAACCTTCCCCAACCTTTGCCATGGACTGCAAAACCTCCTTCTCGGCGAGACCCTCCCGCCAACCGGCTACTCTTTACTGGTTGGACGCTAACCACGAGGAGCGGCCAGCGAAAGGCCGTTAGAAGACTACGCTTCCCGGCATCCTTCGCGGCCGGTGGCGGAGGGGCGCGCGCAGGCGCGCGGGCCGGCCCCCGCACGCAGGCGCACTGCGAACGCCGGCTGAGCTGAGTCTCGCTGCTTGGTGCGCGGCGGCGGAGAGCGAGGCCTGGTGAGCGGCGCTGAGGCGCGGGCCGCCTCTTCGGGGTTGTGCGCAGGAGACGTACGGCGGCGGGCGATCGAGCAAGTGATCTGCTCACTTCAGCCGTGGCACCGGCATCGGTTGCCTTAAGCCTGGTGAGTGCGGGGGGCCCCGCGGCCCTAGCCCCTCCCCCTCCCGCCGGCGGATCCGGGCTGTCCTCGGCGGGACTGGGGAGAGGCCCCGGGGCGAGGGCGGGCGCCGGCTGTGGCTCGAGCTCTGGTGCCGGGGCCCGGACGTTCGCAGCGCGTCCGTCACGGGCACGGCTGTCCTAACGGCCGCGCGGCCGGCGCAGGGGAGGGTGGGGGTGGGGAGCGCTGGTGTGATCGCCATCAGGAACGCCGGTTGAGGCGGGGCGGGGCGGGGCAGCGCGGCGGCGGGGCTGGAAGCGGCGCCGGGGACTGCGGGGCGCCGAGGCAGCAGGGCGGAGATGAGGCGGGCGCGGAGCCTGCGCCACGCGGGGCGGGGGACGGGGGTGGGCCGCGCACAGCGTTGTGACAGAGGCAGGGAAGAGCTGGGGTGGCATGTGAAAATTCTAACCGAGGCAGGAAGGGACTGTCTTGGGAATTCACAAGTTACAGGCAGGGCAGGAGCCGGTGGTTTGGAGGGAGGTAGGGGGAGCGGAGGGTGGAGACGGCTGCAGTTTACAGATGTCATAACAACATGGGCCTGCAGCGGCTGACGGGGGTGTGGTAATTATAGGAATGACGGAACTTGGTCTGCGCAGAGCGTGTGTAGTGGTAATGCGAGGGAAACAGTGAAGTATTGGATTAAGCTCAAAATAGGAGGAGAAAACTGAAGGATGACTGAAGTCAGGGAAGTCGTCATGAAGGAATGCTAAGGGTTAAATGAAAGTGCTTCGTATTCCACTTTTAAATGAAATGTGTCAAAATATTTGAATTTTAAAGTTTAAGTTCAGAGTGAATGATTACAAAGTGTTTTTTTTTTTTTAAGAGACCGAACCTCGCTATGTTGCCCAGGCTGGACCCGAACTCCTGGGCTCAAGCGATCCTCCTGCCTTAGCCTCCAGAGTAGCTAGAACTATAGGCATGGGCCACTGTGCCAGGCTTTGCGAAGTATTTTTTTCTAAAACTATTAAATAATATTACTAACTTTTTCATCCTTTTATTACTTAAATAAATGGTTCCTTCAAGACCTCTATTAGCAGTAGATGAGTAGATAATTTCCCCCCTCTTATTGCTTTAAGGTTTATTCTTGACTTTTGTTAACTTTTTCTTGCCGTTGTAATTATTTTGAAAATCCACAGTTATTTCCTCCTCCATTTTAAAGATTGAAGAGATGAAAATTTAATTTTTCAAATGAAAGTGAGAATGGGTTCCATTGTATTTTTATTGAAATAATTTATTCTTGGAGGGAATTGTTTTATGGGTATATGAGATTTTAGGGAGGACATGAGAGAAAGTAAAGGAATGAACATTTATTGAGCTCCTTTCCAGGTATTGTGCTAAATTAAATGCTTTATATATATTTAAACATTTAATGCTTACAGTAATTTTGAAGTCGATGTTAATTTTTCTATTTTTACAGATGAAAGCACTGAAGGTCAGAGAAGTTCAGTAACTTACTTGAGGTTATCCAGCTCTTGTTGGAACCAACCTTAGAACCCAAAGTCACTGCCATTTTAAGAATTATTTCTTTCCTTTCATACTAATTGGTTGTGTTTTCTTTATTTAATCCAGTAATTCAGTGAATACTTATGGAGAAATCCTGTGCCTGAGACAAGGGATATAGTCATGATCAAGACACTTTGTCCTTGTACTCATGGAATTTATAGTGTATCAGGGAAAACTAACAAATAATACAAATATTGATTGTATGACATTTTATCAGTTACTATAACTGAGCAGAAGCTGTAAAGCACTCTACTAAATAGCAAAGGAAGTTCAAAAGGAAACAGACAACATAAGCCTTGAGGAGCGTCCAGTCCCTTAGGGAAACAAAACATAAGTTTATAAAAACCTAGAATAAACTAAATGATGAACTTACCACCTGAAATCAGTATACTTGCATTATGTTACTTTATAAGGTGGTCCTTGTAGAAGTTTCTTCACAGAACTATGATTTAATATTATACATCTTGACTTTTATCTAGAATTGATACATACCAAAGGGGGCCATGAAAAAAATATTTTCTTCGTTGCTATACAAGATACTGTTTATAATTTGTTTATTGATCCCTGTATGATACAGACCTTAGAGACAAATTCTTAAAATCCCAGTGCTGGGCTTTTTTCTTTCTATTCTTTCCTTTTTTTTTTTTTTCTTCTTTTGTTTTTAAACAAATGACTGCTTTTTATTGGGTCTTTTTTGTTTTGTAAGCCATCCTGTTTCTCTTTATACTTTGACTGTCAGTAGGCTCAGAACTTTGTTCAAATTTTGTAATTGTCCTTAGTCTCAACTATATTATGAAATTATTTTATATAAGATAAGTCTGGAATTGCTCTCAGTTGTTTGCTGGATTATTTTCTTTGTTCTTTGTTGCTCTAGATTATTTTGTCCTTTTCCCTTACATTTGAGAGTAGGATTGTGTCTTATTCTTTTCATCTCCTGTGTTTTAACACAGGGTTTGTTGAATTAATGATAAAATAGTCTCAGTGATTTATGAAACCTGTGCTTTTAAGTCTGCCAGATTGTTTTTAGAAGTATGTATGAATACTGTGTATGAAATCAATTAAGACCTTTGGCCATGCAAGTAAAGATGACTGACCTAGTGATAAAGATAATCCCCTATTACTCTCTTTGTTTTGTTTTAAGATATGTTTGTACTTTGCAGGGTATTATGAATTTAGCCATACTGAAGAAAACATTGGAAATGGTAAACAATTCAATTAGCTGATTTGGGCTGATTTCTTTCTTCTATTTATTGCTGCAGTAAGCAGGAGATGACAGGCCAACTGGAGGGCAGCATGGGGCATTAGAATATTCTGAGGTTGTGCATTGAAAGAGCAGGACTGAAGACTGATGGAATGTAGAGCCTTTTTGATTGTTTTTTTTATAGATGTTATAACCCAACAAAACAGACCTAAGTGAAAAAAGGGTTCTGTCCTAGTGTTGTAGACTAATTGGGACAGTTCTTGAGAGCAGGCTATAATCCAGGATATGGGTAACAGGGATAATCTCCTTCATATAACAAGAATTAATGCTGCCCTTCATATACAAAGATAAGTCTGCTTACTCATTGTGATTGATTTTCCAGCATGAGGGGGGGAGATGTGCTCAGTTGTCCAGAAGTCTCTGTACTTTGTGAACAGCAAGGCAGCTTGGGGGTCAGAATGGGGGTTTGTAGCTAGGGAATAGAAAAACCTGCAGAAAGAACTAACATTTGTTGATGGGTCAAGCTTTACATCAGTGCTTTCACTTAATTGTTCTTGCAAAACTACTTTGAAGATGTGGTTACATGTACAGGGTGATTGGGTAACTTGCCCTACTTTATAGAGTTAGTAGTGGAGCTGGGATTCAAATATAGGGCTGTTTGTGTGGTATTCACATCAATCATTAAAGCTTGATTTTATTAGCAGTTTAGTCTCTTTGGCAGAACAAACTAGATGTAGTTTGTTTGACATCATGAAATACTAGTAAAGATCTAATATACTAACAGCTGAAAGATTGTTGAAGCTCCATGTTTTAGCACCTTTAAAAATATTTAATTTTTAAATTAGAATATCTAAGAAGCAGCTGTCCTCTGTCCCAGCCTCTGCACTTTAGAGGCTACCATTTTCTTTCTCTTAGCTTTTTCCTCTTGTGTTTGCTTTCATATTTATAAATATAGTGACTTTTATTACTATCCTTGACATAGCAATTTTAGACATTATTGGCTTTCCTCTATGTAAGATATTCCTTAGTGTTCCATACATATCTACCTCACCTACCACATGTACATACACTGCCTCTCCCATCTGCAAATATAGTTATCACAGGTGTTTATGAAGTCATTATTCAGTGTTTACAATATTATAACTATGTAAATATTCACAGCTGAGCCATGTGGAGTACTATGATATCATTTCCTCTCGAGTTTTGTTTTTCCAGGAGTTGCTATTTTTTTTTTTTTTTTGCATAGTTTCTTGAGACAGTTATCCTGGAACCCTCATCTCTCCTCTTAATGCAATCTGTACTGATTACGTTTTAGGCCTATTTCACAGCTGTTAGCCTGGGATTTCTCTTTACATCATCCTTAAAATTCTCTTTGCTCTTCTCCTGTACTGGATCCTCTGTTTCTTGTCCCATATTTTTGTTCTTGGTTTATGCACTTCTTTGGAGTGTATCCTCTGCTACTTTCTTGAGAAAGGTACATGGGAATTAAAAACTTTGAGATCTTTCATGACTGAAAAAAAATATCAATAATTTGGCTGCGTACAAAATTTCTAGTCTGAAAACAATTTTTACTCAAAAGTTCAAAAATTCTTTGTTATCCTTCCAGTGTTGCTGTTGAAGTCCGAAGCCAGTCTGACTCTTCATTTTTAAGCAGTCTTCCCCTTCTGACCCCCAATCTCTAGACACTTTTAGAATGTTTTAAAGCCTTGAAATTACATGATGATATGCGTAGGTATGAGTCTTTTTTTCACTTAAGGACATTCTGTGGACCTTATAAGCTGGGAATCCATGTCCGTTAGTTTTGGGAAATTTATTATTTGGACATTAGGTAAAAAAGGATTTTAGAATTAATTATGCTTCTCAGTTCTTGACACTCATCACATCGTACAGGATCCTTTTTCTTAAATTTCTGAATCCTGTTTCTGTTATCCCTTCCTGTAGCATTGTGGTTGATACATTCCTTGAGTATATAAGAATCATTGTGAAATATGTAGTGGAGGTGTGTATTTATCAATAATTCCACTTTTGAAATGTATGCAGAGGAAATAAAAACAGTAGTATGTATGAGAATGTTGATTGCAGTGTGATTATTCTAATGAAAACTGTTAGCAACCTAAAAAATGATCACAATACACTGAGAAATGAGAAAAACAGAACACTAACATATAAAAAATCTCAGTGTTGCAAACAAAAATCCAACTTACATTATTCTTTAGACTTTTAGATAATATTTCATAGGTTAAGAAATCAGAATATAAAAGTT